CATTGCTTCCTGACCCTAAATCCTGGCTTTTGACAAGCTAGTGAAGGCAGGGATCCTGTGCCTTGCTGTTGTAGTCAAGCTGTGTTTTGCTGTAGGACATGTAGGACATGCACCTGCTGTTTTAGTGAATGATGCAAGTAGATGAAGTTTTAAGAAGGAATGGGGGAGTTAAACTTGAATGTTAGTGTTAGAACTAGAACCAGAGGGAAGCAGGACAATTTTGATGATTTAATCTAATTTATTGAGGCATCTTGGGATCCTTTTCTATTTTCCTGTGGAAAAATGCAAGGGAAAAAAAAGCAATGTTGCTAGCACAGAGTTTGGTACAGAGCAGTTTTAGGACACCTTACACCCTCAATCTGGGTTTGTAGATTTGAACACATTTTCTTGCAACAAATTACTTCAGCAGATGCAACTTTCTCTTGTGCAGCAGCCTCAGAGACAGTATTTCCAGGAAAATAAAACTTACTAATTGAGGAAGAAGCAGAAAGATGAGGATGCCCTGCTGTCTGTCTGGTCTATGTGTTGAAATCAGGAGGCAGCGAAAACCCGAGCTGGTGAATTTAGGGAATTGCAGTGTGCCATGAACTCTGCGGAGCTTTCATTGCACCTTGGAACGCAATTAATTTGTCTTGGAGATTTTTAGTTGTGTTTCCATGGGGTCCGTAAGTTGCAGGAATCTTGCTAGGAATCTCGGCTGTGATCTGAACTGGCAGAGGTTATGCCAAAATTTGAACTTCTGGACTGTTATTTGGCTGTACCGAAAAAGAAAAAAAAAAAGTGCAAGGGTCTAATCTAGAGCTCTAAAAAGGCCAGAGTGTGCCTGAGGCACTGGATTAAAGCAGAGCCTGCTTCAAGACGACTGGATGGCAAGAAAGGCATTTTTAAACTGCGCTGGTTTTTAATTTTTCCTTTTTTTTTCCCCCAAAAGATGTCAGCAGCTTCCAAAATCAAAACGGGTTTGGTCTCAGAAACATCCCTCACCACCTAAGACGTGCTGGAGGCCACAGAGGATTGGAGCAGAAAGTCCTCCCCCATCTCAGGAAGCCCTAGACATGTTCAAGGTTTTGCTCCCAGGTGCAGGATTAAAACCTTTCCTACATCAGGGAGTGGGAATTAGGAGGTTATATTTGCACACAGCAGCTCTTTC